ACGGAAAGAAGATTTAAAACATAATAACAAAAAAAGAAAAGAAAGAAAGAAAGAAAAAAAGAAAAGAGCCGCCTATGTGGACAGCTGTAGTCGGAGGAACACCTTTTATCGATCGCACCATTTTCATCCCTTCAAATTTATTTATTGCTCGAGGACGGCAAAAAGCCGATTTTGATTGATCGAAAGGCGCGGGCAAGGTGCTTCATCGGTAGATGCTGGGATAAATATATCCCCAAAAGGAAATAAAAACAGACAAACTTATATATTAAGATGAAATTCCGTACGTGATAAAAGGTGCGTTGATTACACCACTCTACGATATCGGTCGGGAGATAACGTTTTTGAGTACTTGAGGGGAAAAAAATGTCTGCGCGTGTGCGTGTGCGTGTGCGTGTGTGCGTGTGTGTGCGTGCGTGCGTGCGTGTGTGTGTGTAGGAGGGGGGGGGGGGGGGGGGTCAAATGATTATTTACGCTACAAGGCAAGACGTAACTTATCTGCGAGCGTCGAGGGTAGGAGTCGGTTTGGGGATTCGATCTGGGGAAAAGCAAGGATGATATCGGACGAGGTTCATCATGCGAGTAGGGAAGGGCAGAACGGCAACACGGCGCCTGGGATGAATCATCGATGGGGGAAACCTTCATTTGTTCGTTGCTTTATCGTTTTATTGTTGCTTTCACTCGGACTGCTCGAGCCGTGGTTCAAGGGACGATCGAAGAGGAGAACGAGAATCGGATAGATGAGGATGGCAAAGCCAACGGCTAGTCGTAGAGAGCCTGGATTTGAGAGAGGGGGCAGCTTACACGAAGGAGATTGTTGGCAATTGAATGGCGGGAACCTTACGTGCGAGTTGCTGGCCCACGCGTGTGCGCCAGGTGGCTGGTGGTGAGGAGGTTAGCGAGCGGAGAAGCCGAGAGGCTGGAGCAAGCGTGGGGACGCTTGTAGACGATCGACGCTTTATCGCGTGACTGCGACCGAGTGGTTGGAAACTCTGAAATCTAGGCACGCTAGCAAAGCAGCCCACAGCGAGCGCTCAGAGCATCATCATTTTCGTGGGTCTATTATTTTCTTCTTTTCTTTTTGGTAATTCAGTTTGGAGGGAAAGGGCGGGGGGGGGGGGGGGTTTGCTTTCGCTGTCGGGATTCGACTTTATGGAATGGACAAAACAAAACCTAAGAGGTAATCGAAGGTGATAGAGAGGGGCTTGTAAAGGAACAAGCCGGAAGCATCAGGGCGCATGTCGCGAACTTTCGTGGAACCGTCAAGGTTCGACTGGTTCGGCGATTTTTCGAACCAAGTTTAGAAAAATCTGTCAAAGTTTTGACTTGTGAACAGCGTTACCGGAGTTCTACGCAACTATTTCGAATTTTGGGAAAGATTTTATTTCCATATTTTCTAAATTTATCAATAATGTTAATTCAATACAAAAGCAAACGTATGTAATTTTAATGTGTCGATTGCAGAAGCCCCATTGTGACGAGACCGTTTGGGTGGCGCATGTGTGGTTGAGTGCTCCCTTTTTTTATACTTTCCTGTTTTTTTTTTTTCACTATTAAACATTTAGTTGCGAGTCAGAGCTCGTTCTGTGTTGTGTGTTTCTTTTCTTAGCGTTGTTACACCTATACTGTGTTTCATTTCCACCACTAGCCCACCTCTCCACTTTGTTGGAGTTAAACACCTGTTTAAAGATGGAGCAGCTCTTCATTGCGGGTGACGCCAGACTTTATCACTTAAGCCCTTGGAATCTTTTTATATGAGCTTATGTTATTCTCACAAACTGGCATTGCAGGCACAATTTATGCACAAACTAGAGACGAGACGCCTTTCTGACAAGTCGGTTATAAAACGTATTGGTCATATCACTATTAGAGACTCGCGGTTGCATGTAATGCCGTCGATTCTTTCACAAAGCAAATAACGAGTAACTACTTTGTGGCGTGTCGAGGCAGCTTTGGTGCCATTCCAGAACCAACAGAACAAAACAACAAGAAAGAGTAATGAATTATATATATATATTAAAATGTGCTCATAAAAACAAAACAGATAAATAAAAGGAGAATCAATATTTTAATATATTTATAAGCGCCAGCAGGAGCATTAGTGTCTACCAGAAATATACTTACTTGAAATGTTTTTCGTTCACGCTTTAATTTTCCGAAAACTATATTGTAAAGGAAGTTAAGCGACGTAATTAATCGATGACACACTCACAAAACAATTTTAGATTCGTAATTTGTAAATAGTAATTTCGATCTCTACTTCTTTGCTTCAGTTTCGGGTGCATAGCGAAATAAAAGAATCGCGCCTAATAATTTGAAGGTTCTTGCTCAGCCTTCCGAGTTTTTCCGAACATAACTGTAGACGATTTACGCACGTGCTTATTTAGCTTCAAGTTCAACGAGGCACTCATGCCAGGTGATATTCGTCCCATCGAAAACTCTCCACAACCTTGATTTGTTCTCTGTCTCTATCTCTCTCGTGTCAGCGACGTGCGGCTGAATTTTGAGGCACTGAGTAATGTTAGTACTATATGTACATGAATGAAGACTATGAACTCGGGAGTCATTCCTGTCCGCCTAAAAAGTGTCATTGGCAAACCGCTTTACAAAGCATATACGCGTGGTGGTATCACAAGCACATGCGGCGTTGACGTCACGCGCTGCGGTGGCGCTGCTGTCGCCAGGGCGCATGCGCAGAAGGTCCACCTGAAGCGAATCTGGTTTCTGGGCACGCGCAGTGCTGACACCTCGTGGGGGCTTGTTTGTAAACAGCGTGTTGGCCTATACGTTTTCCCGTATTTACCCCTAGTATACATTAAAAAAAAAAATGCCTTGAAAGCAATGATTACGTCTCGAGGAAAGTTAAACCTACAATGCTCTGTTACGACTGCATCCGATGAAGCCAATCAACACCAAAAGTGCACTGTTTGATATATGACCGGCTCAATCAATCGCGAACAGAAAAAAAGAAAAGAGAAACTTGTTTCGATCATTCTGATAAACCCGGGAAACACATAATTATCGTGTGTGTGTGTGTATTCTGCATTCCTCGTGACTTGCTATGCCTGGGGCCGGCTGCCGGGAGTTTTTGGATGCGCTGCACACACAACACGACACTCTTCGTGATATGTCCGGGTTCATCAGATCGAACGAGACGAGTTTAGCTTCCTTTAGGAGTCGAGTGGTTGTCACGTGCATGTTTTTTTATGAGAAGTTTTCCCTGGGTTCTGCTTCTTTAATAGGAGCGTGTGTACGGCCTTGAGCTCTTAGCGCTCTTAGATTGTAAGGAGCCCCTTGCAGTATCTGAAGTAATCGCGAGGGGAGGACGTTTATCGCGCCCTTTACGCTATCAATTGACTTTTGTTCGAAGTTCTGACGTCGTACGCCCGAAGCGGTATCCCTTGATGCTTTATGATCCATCCCGTGATGTCGTCAGTGCACGTAGGGAGATACGCGTTATCAGGAACCAGCTGCGCGCGCGGCGATCGCCAGCGGGCTAAGTGCGCTGGACTACAGTCGGTGATAAGTCAAGAACAAAGTTGAAGCTCCTCCCACCTCGTTCCACTCTAGCAAAGAACACGCTGGGGAGGTGGTGGCCTCCTCTCCACCGTTCGCTTTGCTAAAGTGGAAAGGGGTGGGAGGAGCTTCCACTTCGTTCTTGACTTATCACCGACTGTAGGCATAACTCCCCTCCGACGGTTATTATTGATTTATTTTTTATTTATTTATTATACCCTCAGCCTCAGAGCCGAAGTATAACAAAGGGGGTGGGTGTAGGGATCTAACACGTTACAAGATGGTCAATTCGGCTCAAACACACAAATAATGACACGTTAGTGTTTCCTTAAATACTGCAAGATTATTAATTGTCGCAATGCACGGGGGAAGGCGGTTTTATGAAGGAACTGTAAAAGGAATTAGTCTTGCATGTTGGTACGCCTACTTTGCAGTGATGGTCGAAACGAGACGATATGTAGACGGGGACATTGATGAGTTGGCTTTTTAGTACAGAATTGTTGAAGTATATTGTATGAAACAAGTACAGACGAGAAACTAGATGTGGGATGATAGTTGTATAGTATAAATCGTGCTCAACGGTTTTGGATGGCTTCGAGTGCTGAAATGAGAATTTCTGCACCAGGATCCCGGACCGAACATGCGTATTCGAGCTTAGGTCGTACTAATGTTTTGTAAAACAATAATTTTAACGATGATGGAACTAAGGGAAAGTTATGTCGCAGGTATCCAAGCATGCGAATACTGTTAATTAGATATTCGGTATGAGCCTTCCATGACAGATCAGAGATGATATGAACGCCTAAATATTTGTAAGATGATACTTTTTTTAAGGTGGTTATTTGACAATTGGTAAGTGGGGACAATTTGTGAGTAGTGAGGACTATATATGCTGGACTAAGTATGACTTGCCGCCAACGGTCGCTTCTGCGCTAAGCACTCCGGAGTATGACTGACCGCCGTCGATCTCCTGCACCTATACTCGCCAGCGCCTGTAGCCATGAGGACCTACTGGACTATGACACGGCGCTGACGGTCGACTACGGATTAAGTAGGCTGGACGGGAGTATCACCCACCGTAGTCAGTGGCGTGCTACCGCAGGCGAGCGTCAGTAGCAACTCACACTTGGCTAAGTTGCTTGCGCTCTCGTTCATCACTTGTAGCGCAACAACAACGACGACAACGACAACGACGATGACGACGACGACGACGATGATGACAACGACGACGATGACGACCACCACCACCACCACCACCACCACGACCACCACCACCACCACCACCACCACACCTATACTTCTGACGTTGAGCAAAAATGTCGGACTGCAGAACCCATGATCCGGGGTTCGCATACCGCTGAGCACCTTGGTGAACCTCTCTAGATTC